GGAGAGGAGAGGAGAGGAGAGGAGAGGAGAGGAGAGGAGAGGAGAGGAGAGGAGAGGAGAGGAGAGATGTGTTGCCTCAGGGGAGCTGTTTCCCATGAGGAAAGGTGACACAACGAAGCTGTGCCTTACTTCACACAGAATTATGGACTGAAAAACTCTCAGGAGCCATAAAAGCTGTCATTGATTACCCTGCCATTCCCTAGCCAAATGCATGTGATCTTATGGGATATGTTCATTGTATTCCTTTCAAAATCAAACAGCCCTTGAATCACAGAATCCCAGAATCATTTAGTTGGTAAAGACATCCAAAGTCACCCATCACCACCTTGATACTAAAGGTGCAAGATCCTAAGCAGTTCCTAAACCTTTTTGCCTTTTTAAATCCACCAGGCTGTTCCAGGAGTCAGAATACCCACCTTTAACAGGCACGTTGTTGACTGGCAGCCAGGTCACAGTGCCCTTCTTGCGTTTCTGAACAATGTATCCCATAATTTGGGACGTGCCAGTTTTACAAGGAGCTTTCCAGGATATGGTGATGGTGTCTCTGCTGGCACTGATGATCTCAGGGGGATCTGGGGCACCAGGGGAAGCTACAAAGAGATGAGGGCTTCATTATTAGCAGGTATGTTTTTATGGCAAGATAAAATGGTGTTGTGTGGAATTTCTTCTTCCAGATTCCCCCAGGTATTCCTATGGATGTGCAGGAAAACCTGGCTGAGACCTGAAGCTGTGGATCCTGCTCCCCACACAAACTGGATCCAGCATGGAGTCTATTCCTGAGGCTGGATTTTACAAAAGACCTGCTGTCATCAGGACTGACAATTCCACTGCCAGTGGGTTGTGTCATTCCTACATATAAACAATTAGCATAATTCCTGCTTTCAACAACAGGAACTGGTAACAAAATGGATTTTCTTTGCCCTCTGCTAAAGTGTTCAAGATACAGAATCATGGGAATGAGAATGGAGAAATGGGATAATTAGAACTGAACATTGCTCTCCCTAGTACTGCGTTTATGCTCATGGCAAACCTTTTCTAGTATTTAAACTCCTTGAAGGACAAAACCAATATTTAGTTGTTTGGAGAGCAGGGGAATGGAGTGGTCATGCTGAGAAGGGCTGCACATAAAAGTTATTTTGCCTGTGGAGTTAAGAAAAGGCCTCACATATTCCCTTTGCAGCCACACTGGAAAAATTTCCTTTGATTTTGATGCATTTTGCATTTCCACCATGAAACTTCCTTTCCAATCCAAAATGGAGCATGACCAAGCAATAATTACATCTCAGCATCAGCAGAGAACTGCTGCTCTCGCTGGGCAACTTCCACAGCTTTGTGTGAAGACTGAAGTTGAGATCTGTAGCAACATCCACAATGCAGTGAGTTTCCTCTGATGTCATCTTTGATAATGAATTTCCCAATTTGAATTATGGATTATGAGAAGTTCTCCTCACCTTTACCAGCAGCCTTCACTTCCCCTGACTCCAGCGCATCACTCACTCCCTCAGCATTCATGGCTCTCACCCTGAAGTAGTAGCTCATCTCTTCCTCCACTTTGCTCATGGTGAAGCTGGTGCAGCTCCTGGGGGTTTCTCCCAGTATCTCCCAGTCGTTCCTGCCCACCTGCTGCCTCTCCACAAGGTACCTTTGTACTGGTTTGCCCCCATCATCCTTTGGGGGCTTCCACTGGATGGTGATGTTGTTGGCAGAGCTTTCTACAATTTTGATGGGTCCTGCTGGAGGCTGTGGCTTGTCTGGAAAGATGAACAGAGATACAGCCAGCTCCAGACCTGCTCCTGGGTTTGGAGCAGACACTGTCCCTTGCTTACCAGCTAGGAGACTGTTCCTGATGAAATGCAGGCACAGTTGTAGGGTGAGGGCTGGGTGTGTGAATTGCATCTTCCAAACTTGTACTCTTCTAACTTTTTATGGAGAATATGGAAAGCCAGGCCCTTGCTCTCCCTGGATCAATAGTTATCATAAGCATTGCACCAGTTCAGTTTGCTAATACAGACAAAACTTGATTTCTGGTCTCCCAAAGTAGCCCAGACATTTATGGGAGGGCTGAATTAGACCTTGATATCCTATTTCAGATTTGCATGTTGTGTACAGTCACATCTCCCACAGTGTCTGAACATTCAAAACTCAGCTGCTTAGGCCATGAAAAACCAAACTAGGTTTGTGTTCCCTTGCACTAAAGGGCATGAAGCATGTTCAGCAATCTTTCCTTGTATCCTGATTTCAGGGCAACATCCAGAGTCTTGTCAGTCTCGAAATACCCAGTCACTCCAAATAAGGTTGTCACCAGTGTCAATGGATTCCCTGGCTAACACTGAAAGCCACAGTGAATGTTACAGGATCTTACCTATCACCATGAGCTTTAGGTTGATCTCCAGGACACCGCTGTCATTCTTGAGCCTGACTTTGTAATCCCCACAGTCCCTCCTGTCGCAGCTGGAGATGGACAGCGTGGTGCAGGTGTCTGTCTTGTCCACACGGATCCTGGTGTCATCCCCCAGCTCCATCTTGTCCTTCAGCCATGCCGCCCTGATGGGCCCCCGACCCTCGAATGGGATCCGCAGCTTCACCCCCTCCCCGGCCTTGGCCACTGTGGGGACACTGGTCAAATTCTTGAGGAGAACTTTGTCCACCTGGGGAGGATCTAAGCAGGTGATACAAGGTCATTAAAAACCACAATTCAAGGAGGATGAGGCTTACCTTGAAGGGAAGGGATCCCCTCATAAGCAATGCTTAGAAGCCCACAACACTTGGATCTGAACCTTTAGTTGTACTTTGCTACAGGATAATTATCACAAAATTTTGTGGTATTACACTGTCCTTTCACTAGAGAAAATTTCTCCTAGGCAACACACTAAACACAAGAATGAAGAGTCTGCCCTGATCAAGTATTTTGTGCACCCCAAAAATATTTGAGTTGCTGACAGAAGGGTCCCTAGCTAAATTTGCAAATGCAAAATAAATGAACCCATACAAAAACCATTTCCCATTTATCTTGTAATTCTTTATAATAAATTTGTCTCAATAACCAATAACATGTCTCTGACTTGGTTTGAAGCCCATCTCATGCTGCCTTGGTGGGTTGAGTAGACTCACCTTCAACAAAAATTGAAGCTTCAGTTTTTACATCTCCACCTTCAAACCTGTATTTCCCAGCATGAATATCTTCAGCCTTGTTAATGATCAGTTTGTGGACAAGACCTTTCTTTTCAAAGACGACTCCATCCATGCTTGTTAACTACAAAGTAAAGCACAGAGATCTATCTTTTTCTAAAAAAAGGAAAAAATGCAATCCAAACTAAAACTGGAGAGACTACAATTTGAAAGGCAGTTGAAAAGACTTCTGAATATCATGCATATTTAATGACAATATTCTGGTATTCTGTTGACCAGAGAAGCTGTGGCTGCCCCATCCCTGGATGTGTCCAAGCCCAGGTTGGATGAGGCTTGGGTCTAGTGGAAGGTATCTCTGCTCAGGGCAGGGACTGGGGCTGAATGATCCGTAAGGTCCCTTCCAAACCAAACCAAACCAAACCACTCTGAGATTCTGAGAACCCTTCCAGGGCCCCACTCATACTGCAGGTGACTGTCAGGAGGAAGGACACCTTGACACCACCCTTAGGAAGTAGAGCTAGAGAGCAGAACATTGCTACCCAAAGCCAACAGCAAGCTCAAGGAACCCACCTTTAGGCCATCCTTAAACCAGGTTCCTGTGACGTTGTCCTTGCTGACAGTGCAGGACAGCTCAGCTGGCTCCCCCTTCAGCACTCGCACAGTTGCCAGCTGCTTGTTGAGGTAACAGCGCGGGACTGAACATGCACAAAGGAAGGGAAAAAGCTAAGTCTGTGTTGCAGAGAGACACCTAGAGCTGAAAATGCATGTGCATGTGAAGTAAGAAGAGCTTTTAAAAAAATGTCCTCTGGTCAGGAGAGGCTTTTGTGCCACCTCGCTGAGGGCCAGCTGGGTACACTCAGTGCCTGAGAGCCATCCCAACATCAACTATATCCCAATATCCACCTCATGGGCAATGGATTCACCACAAATCACATTATCCTGTAGATTTGCTAGTTTATGTCTTTGCTAATTGTCTTGGCTCCCTCTACAGCCAGTGGAAAAAAACAGGCTGCTCCAGGGTGTGGATATACTACTTCATCCTCCTCTTCCTCTGCACTGGGGCTTGCCAACACATCCCCTAAAGAGCCCCAGGCACACTGTTCTACACCCTTGTATTTCTCTTTCTCTTCCCAAGTTCTTCTCCATTACCATAATCATTTCCTCTCTAATATATACCCCACTCCTTCCCCCTGAACCCCAATTTTGATGATTTTACTTCCTTGTTTATATTTATGGTTTAGCAATGATAATTCCTAACTTGTGAACCATCCCATTAGGTCAATATTCTACTCTGATTATACACCTGAAATTTCCATTCCTACAATTTTCACATCATCATCTTGCTCTTGGAGCCACAGGTCTTACTCAAATGGCTGCAAACACATTACTACCCTCTTACTCTACGCAACACCTTATTATTCCTGATGTTACAAGAGAAAAGAGCTCTTGACATTATATAATCCCAAATAAGTAGGCACAGAATTGTTCCCAGAACTTGGAAAACACAGTTCTTTACAGTAGGTGTTTGAAAAACAAAGTGAAACCTTCAGTTTTTAATTGGAAGAGTATGAAAGAAATATGATATTCCTTGAAACCTTATGGGAACTGGTATGTTTGTGAACTGGTCTGTTCCATGATATGTGAAACACAAATGAAGAGATGAGACCTGGTTTAGATAATTTAGCCAAAGAAAATAATTAGACCTTTAAGACAGTTTGATCAGAGCACACTGTGTAAGATCAAACAGCTAATCAGTGGGAGAATTAGGAACAGATTATGGAACAACCACATTTCTATAGAGTTGTGTTTATCTAAACTGTAACATCCAATTTCTTTGCAGGATTAAGAATGTGAGTATCAAAACGCAAAGACTAAGAGTCTCCAGTTAACCACGTACCTTTGAGATCATCCAGGACACTCCGTCTCTTTTGTGTTGTGCTTTCCGTTTTGTTCAGGGAATCATTCGCTTTAAGATCCACATCAGGTTCCTGGTTTGCTGAAGGAGGTCCACCAAAAGGACCTGACACCTGGCCATAACTCAGTGGACCTTGACCTAACCCATCTGAACTACTCCCGTCAACAGATCTGTCATGGGATTTACTCCCTGCCTCTCCAAAGGCAGAATTTGTGCCATAAAGGGAGCCCAACTGTCTGAAATCTCTGCCCTCTCCCCTGGCTCCTCCTGGACCAGACAGGGACCCTCTGTCACCAGCTGAACCTTTGTTCCCTAGTCCTCTGACATCACTGGCAGTGCCCTTTCCAGTCTCACCTCTTGAAGATCTGCCAAGATGTGCATCCAGCCCATATTCACCACCTGGTCCACCAGCAGCTCCCAAACCTCCTTTACCATGGACTGAATCCCATTCATCCCCTCCCCACATCCCAACTCCACCTGCACCAGCTGTGACTACAGCTGACCCTCTGTCCTCACCATAGGGAGACCCTGCACCCCACATTGCAGAGCCTTCCCTGGAAAAGCCCTCTCCTCCTGCTCCACCTGCATATCCCGGAGCCCTGCTCAGTGCGGCATCCATGCCACGGCCAGATCCCATCACTTCCTCACCTCCAGGAGAAAAATGAGCAGCTCCTGCCACTGCCCCAGGTAGGAGACCATCCTTTCCACAGGGACCTCCAACTCCCCCTGCACCACCACCAGTCCCAATTGGCAGACCATCCTTTCCATAAAGAGCTCCAACTTCCTGTTCACCACCAGTCCCACCAACACCTGCTCCAACTGGAACACCATCCTTTCCATAAGGACTTCCAACTCCCCTTGCATCACCAACACCAGCTCCAACTGGGAGACCATCCTTTCCATAGGGAGCTCCAACACCCCCTGCATCACTAACACCAGCACCTGCTCCAACTGGGAGACCATCCTTTCCATAGGGAGCTCCAACTCCCCTGGCACTCACAGCACCAGCACCACCAACAC